TTCCCTCCATTTCAATAAATACTGAGGAGTTAATCATGAGTGACCAATATACTGAGGAGTTAAAAGGGCTTTTTTATTGTGGTTTCTGTTCAATTCCCAATTCTGCACTCCAGATATGATGTGTCTCAGTTCATTATTCACTTAAGTTTGTCATAACTGTTGCCATTTACCTATTACTTTGCTTTTGATCACCAGAATTTCTCAGAGTGCACAATGGGGATGTTTTTCTACAGACAGTGTTAGCTGGTTCATTCTCCTTAATTCCTATGTGTCCATGTTCTCAGCAGTAAGTGGTATTAAATCCCTGACACCAAAAATTTTTTTGAAAGGCTTTAAATTTATTGTACTGCTTAAAATGGTTTTAATTAAAATAATACATACATTTCTCTATATTTAAACTTTTTTTGGGGGGATACATATTAATGTTCTTTAGGAAACATTAGAAAAAAAATGATATTAAATTTTTTTTTTTTGTGTTGTGTGTGTGTGTACATATAATGTCCCTTTTTGAGTCATGCATCGAGAATATCTTCATAATTATTTTGCTCTTCTAATGTCTCAATTGAGTCATTACATCTAAAATATCTTGTCCTGATAAACTCTTTTCTCTTACCCTCCTTTTTTTTTTTTTTTTTTTTTTGTTCTTTTCCTTCTCTTTTCCCCTTCTCATTTGTCTTTCTCATCTGTACTTTTAATTGTCTTCACTTATAGTTTTAATAATTTTGATGAGGTTTGATGCTGTCATTATTTCATAGGCAGAAAACCTTCCTTTTCTATTATTACAGGTATAATAGAAATACCTACAAAAATACCCCCAACCCCAGCCATGAGTTAAACCAGGAATCTTTCAATCATGAGTTTAGTATTATGATTTTAACTTCATTTAAGCTTTAGCAATAACATTCAATGCATCAAAAATCATTATGTGCTTCTAAGAAAATTTGCAATTTTTTTGTCCTGATTAATTTCAATGTGAGAACATTTCTGAGGGGTGATGCATAGATAATTTGAAAAGCTAATAATCAATAGGCAGACTGGTGGGAGTTTTGTGTACTTTCATGCACATCAGGTCTTTTGCTTACTCTATGCATGAGGGATGGAATAACTGATCTTGATCACTCTTCAGTTGCTTTTAACAATACAAAATTATCTTAAATATTTGATGTGGTTATTTAAGTTAGGAGGATATTGCACTTTTAAAATTTTATATTGTAGTTTTTGGAGTGATGATTTCATTTTCATGCAATGATTCACTCTAATATAGTTATTTTAAATATGTTGTTTTTATATTTGCATGTTTAGGAACGAGATAACTGTAGAAAGTTATTAGATTCCTATCTTAGTGAAACTACTATGACAGGTGTTGCATTGAATGAAACACAGTTAAGTCACTTAGAAGACATGAATATGGAATACAAAAGAGCTTTAGAAAAGGTAAATATTTAAGTTTGGAAAAATGATCTTTGTAAATTGGAAAATTTGCAATCTAAGTATTTTTTCTCCAATTTGATATTTTAAAACTTATTTACAGTGCTTTGTACTTTTGTGGTAAAAATTTTCATACCTGATATGAACTACCTCTATCTGAAATTAAATAAAAAAAATGTTATTTTAGATTGGCATAGATTTTGAATAAAACTCTGTCAGTTTTAAGAGCAATCACATATTATAACCTCTTTTTTGAGAGGGAAAAAATATTGTTCTCAAAGAAGTGGAACCTGCATTTGATATCTCTCAGTAATGATAAAGTTTTATTCAAAATTCATGCCAATCTAAGACTGCTTTTTTTACCTAGTTTTAAATTTTACATTGTTGTATAAAAATTGTTGCTTTACTGGTTATATTATGCCTTGATATATGGAAGAAAATATTAATAAAAATATATTTTAATAGTATCTTATATTAAGGCATATTTTCCTTTAGTTTTTGCCAAGCACATACCTGCCAACTTTTACGAATTTTTCGTAATTTTTACGAAAATGAGTTTGTTTTTACGATTTTATGATCGTAATCCATTGTAAGATTTATTTTTCCTTTTTTCAAGTTGTTTTTTAGTGATTTTGTCGAAATTTTAGAATTTTTTGCCAATCAGGCAATTTTCGCAATTTGCATCGTGGTTTATCGCCAAACTACCGATACTTCGATCAGGAACTGCAGTTTCTCCCAACTCGCGCCTTAATCAGCCAATCCAATGCGCTGACTGTTTCTCCACTCTTTCTTGGGGCGCAGATTATTTTTTAGAGTGGATGTCGCATTCTGTTTTTTTTTTTTTTTTTTTTTTTTGTTGTTGGTTTTTTGCGTGTCCGAATTTTCTTAAACGTCGTTGTTACGAAATGAGTTAAAAAAACGTACAAACCAAAATAGATAGAATCAAATATTTTCGGCTGCCTACAAAGCGAATTCCAACAATTAAAGAATCCTTCAAAGGAAATAAATATGCATTTTCAACATGGCGTTGGGACTTCATATAAGTACGGTGGAAGAAGAGACATTGTGAAGCTGTAAGTTAAAAAGCATGAAGTTAATGTTCGGCTTCGACAACGTTAAAGAAAGTGGATGATTTTTTTTTAAATTCGGCTACGAATTCGGATCCGATATCATTTTGGCAGAGTGTTTGTTACACAGTTGAAGACTTTGCCAGTTCTGGAGAGATCGACTGAGTCTCATGGTACCTTAAAAAGAAGAAAAAGAGCGATGGAACACCAAATATGATTGACTAGCCAGAGTTTATGTCTATTATCGTAATGCCCCACAGTTAATGCTGAGTGCGAGAGAGTTCTAGTGGTGAAGAAAAACAAAATAGTTCGTTCTTCAAGTTCACAAAAATCTAGAAACATTTAATTGCTAAATGTTAGAGGAAACTAATTGTTATGACAGGAATTTCCAAAGAATTTTGGCTAAGCCAAAAAAAGCACTCAAAATCCTTGCAAAATTTTTGTGTAACATAAGTTCTTGTTTTATGTTCCTAATAAATTTTTAGTTAACGACTTAATGAGATTCTATGTAAGTACATTTTTTTTTCTATTTGTATAAATTGATTTTTTTAATATAAAGCATGATATTATCTTCGTGATATTTGAATTTTGAGAAATCTTCTGAATTTTTATCTTTAGAGGTTGGCAGGTATGCAAGCATATGATGAAAAATATATAAGGGTATAAAAATGAAGCAATTATTTATACTTTATTACATAATTATCTGAGTTGTTTTTAATTTATTGAATATTATATTGCAAGGCTATTGAATTTACTTAGGGCAAGTTAAATCTGTTTATGTAAAATAATACTCATAAATCTTGTCAGATTTGTAACCCATTATTGTGGTTTTTATTAAATCTTTTTAGAGAATTCATTTGAATTTCTCTAAATTTATGTGTACTGTTTTTAGTTTAGTTACCAGAACTCAGAATTGTATATTTGATGATTAAAAATTACCTAAATGATTTTATACTGTAAGTATTTAACTATTTCTGCCATTATACAATTTTTGATTAATTCAATTCTCATCTTAATTCAGTCTTAATTCAATTTTTGTATCCTTTTGTATTGGATGATCAAATGTGCCTAAAATTACTATGATCATCTCCCTTTCATAGCAGCAAAGATGAGTAGAAAGCAAAAAAATTACTGAGTGCAATTTATTCTATGGGTTTATTAAACCCTAGCTAAGAAAATTTTAGCTTATGACTTTTAATTCTGGGCAATTAAAAAATATAAAAGGGCAGTTTTCAACAATTTTAAAATCTTATCATCAGAACCTCACAAAGTATTAAAATTTTTAAACAGACTTTCTTGGATAGGTGTGACTTATTCATCAGAGCTTAATGTGGATACTTTTCATTAGCTATTAAACATGACAGATTGTCTAATCCTGTCTTACTAGTTGATCAAACATACAATGTTTGAAACATATAAATATGTAGATATTCTTAACTGTCTGTTGTCAATTTGTGGGAGCAAGCAGGTAAGAGTGACAGTTCCCGCTGCTCATTAAACTCATTGGTTAATAAACTCAGCTGCTTGTTACATTCAAATTTCCAGGTGCCAAGACAAATACGTACTAACTAATAGAAAAACTGTCATTTATTAAACTCATCTTTGCCATTTATTAAATTCAGATTGGCAAAAGACTGATTCTTCATTGCCAGAATGTCCTACTTGTATCTATCAATGCTTTTCGTAGATCATCCATTTAATGTGTTGTGACTGTGGTTTTATCATTCAGGTATGTAATAATGCTTCAATAAAGCAGGTTTGACTGAAAATTTCCTTGCCTCATCTTTGTACCTGCGAGACATTGTATTCAGAGTTCTTTGTCCATACTGGACTTCAGGTGTGGTTATCTTAAAGTTAACAAAAACAGTACCCTAGAGCTTGTGTAAATGACTGAGGGTTCCTTCTCGAATACCAGCTGATAGGAGGTGAATTGGCAACTTGTGTATCTTATCTTTTAAAGTTACCACATTTTAAATCCTTCTTTTGGGCTACACGTGTTATGTTCACATATATACTGACGAGCTAAAACATTATGACCATCTTCACATTTTTCAATGAACTGATCTGGAGACGGGGAGGGTTTGTGAATAAGCGGGAATGATATTTAACTGCTGGTGGAGAGGTAAAGAACTGTATTTGCAGGCAATGTAAAGAATGTATGTAATGTATGTAAAGAATCACTCTTGTACTTGTTTCTGCGTGTGATAAGAAAGGCTGTTGATCTAAGGTAATGTGATAGAGGGCAGACTGTAATGGCCCGAAGACTCGGAATGAGTATCTCAGAAACTGTGCAACTGGTAGGTTGTTCAGGATCTGCTGTTGTTAATATTTATGCAAAGGGGATAAATTATGGTGAAACCAGCAGTAGAAACCAAGATGTTGGTCATCCAGGCGGAAATGGAAAAAAAGGATGCTGGAGACTGTCCTGCTTGATACAGCAAAATCGACACCAGACAGTGGCTCAGCTGGTTGCCCAACACAATGCAGGTCCAAATGCAAGTGTTTCGGAGCACATAAATCAGAAGACACTGTTGGATATGGGACTGTGCAGCAGACGTTCCACTTGTGTGCCTCTGTCCAATAAGCATCATTGTCAACTACGCCTATGGTGGGCCCAGGAACATCGAGACTGGATCATGGATAAATGCTAGATAGTTGCCTGGTCGAATGAATCATGATTTCTCTTTTATCACATCGATGGGCATATTAGGGTATACCGTCTTCCAGACGAGCAGTTGGTCCCCCTGTACAGCAGGTCATACAAAGGCTGGTGTTGACAGTATTATGCTTTGGGAGATGTTCTCATGGGTGGCTCTGGAACCCTTTGTAGTGGTAGAACAGACCATGGAAGCTGCTGGCTAGCTGCACATAACTATGTATCAGTTGTACCTTTACATGGCATCTGTTTTCCCGACTTGAAATGTAATCTTCCAGCAGAATAATGCCCCATGTAACAAAGCTCAAATAGTGTTGAAGTGGTTCGAAGAGCATAAGGATGAATTCCAGTTAATTTCCTGGCTACCTAACTCACTGGATCTTAACCTGATAGAGCACATTTGGGATGTCATGAAGCAGCAGTTCAGAGCTCAAACACTACTATGTTGAAATAGCTCGACTTTGTGGACCGCTGCGTAGACTTTGGTACAACCTGTCTCCAGTTACCTACCAAGAACTTGTGGCATCCATGCCAAAGTGAGTTGCAGCTGTTTTGCAGGGCAAAGGTCATGCAATGTGTTATTAAGTAGGTGGTCATAATGTTTTGGCACTTCAGTGTAGTTATAAAAAGTTCATGAAATGCTTCTAGGCTTTACCATGCACTAAGAGTCTTTGAATGCAAAAGAAGTAGAAACTGTAGCCTGAAGTAAAAGCAAGGAAAGCATTGTCATGCTTGTAATCATGAAGAGGCAGATCAACTAACAGTCAAAGGTAAATCTGCTGGCTAGAAATGTTAATTCTGAAATTTGAATACATCACTCCAAGAAGCATTCTTTGAAATTTGTTGTGTGCTTAACTTATCAAAATGACAGGTGAAAAGACGTAAGCCTGAAAGAAAAGAGTAAATTGTTAAGATTTTAAATGTTTTTGGTAATTGTAGCCAAAGAAAAAATACATTTAAACTGGAAATTTCACAAACAACATTATGCATTTTATTTAAACAAAGAATTATAATTAGAAGACTAATAAAAATGCAAATATTTCAAGGAAGTGCAAAAGAGACATGAAATAAACAGACTTTGAGATTGCTTTTCTAGAATGGTTTCAAGCTACTGTTTATACAGTTATTTTTACTAATTTGCTGAATTTTTGAGAGAATTTTGTCACCTAACATCTCACAGTTTGAAGAAACAAACATAGAACATTACTTGTCAGAAATTGTTTGATGAGAAGATAAAAAACAGATCATCCTGCAGCTGATAAGTGGGTAAAAGGCATTTTGCTTGAGCTGCTAATGTATATTTGCTGCTTGAAATTTATGATACTGATGAAATTCAACTATGGTACAGAATACATATTAATATTTAAAAGTGAAACAGCAGTTTAAGAAATTGAAGGAATAAGTTACTGTTTTATTAATGTGCAATACGAAACCAACAGTTAAAAAGACAGCACTAGTTATTGATAAAAACAGAGAAACCTTGATGCTTAAAGGGAGTCAGGAATTTATTTCTGACTTACCACAATAAAAAGACTCATGGATGACAAACAGTATGTTTACTGATTTTCTTTTGAAATGAGACAGTGAATTGAAAACTGAAGAAAATAGCTGTGCAGCACACACATTTTTATCTGAAAAACATTCATGTCTCTGCCGGCAAATACAGTTTCTAACATTTGACGTTTAATTTTAGGATATTATAAAAGCTTTCAAATTTCATTTCAGAAAAGAATGTTGATGAGAAGTGAGAACTTAGATAACTAAGTCAGTATCTCTACTTGAGGCTATGCATATTGTAGTCAGTATATAGAATTAATCTTGTAAAATTATTTAAAAAATGTTTCCAAAATGTGGTTTTTTACACAGAAGAAGCCTCAGAGGAATAGCAAACTATAGCTTATGTTTGAGATGTCAGTGAGGGAAGTTATGATGATTAATTTTTAGAATACTTATCAAGTCGCCACAGAATTGAGACAAGGTGGCAAAAAAAAAAAAAAAAAAAAAAAAAAAAAAAAAAAGACTATGAAAGTTTTAAAAGAATTGCAGGAACTGGCTGCGAGAGTAATGACATGTCATCATCATTCGGTTCTAGAAAAGCACTGCAAATTTTAAGAAAAATTCTTGAACTGAAATGAGCGAATCAAAAAAGCTATCGGCAGTTTTACAAAATTGAGAATGCAGTTGAGAAATTGTTGTTGAACATTATGAAATAAACACAGATAGAATAGTTGTTTGAAGAGAATAAAATTTCACCAGAAAAATAATTATAAAAATATTTTCATAAAAAATTAGCAAATGAATTCGTGTAAATAGTTTAATTTTAATATTAATTTTTAATTATCATTTTAGAATTAATTAATGAATGAATTTTTAGTTATTATTTTGCTTGAAAAGTTTAAAACTGATATTACTGTTTGCAATGTATGAAACATTGTTTATTAAACTTAACCTCTTAATAAATTCAAATATATGTTTGGACGTGATTTTTATAAGGGGGCGGTTGTATTACATTTACTTTAAATTAAATGTATGGTATTTGATAGAAAATGGATATAAGTTAATTAACTGCAGAAAAAAATCTGGCAATTATTTCTCTTAATATTTGGTGTTTCATTTATTTTGCTATAGAGTGAAAAGGAGGTTGACAATTTAAATGAGAAACTTAAGAATTTAACTGAAAATAGTAGTTCAATGGAAATGCTTGCATCTGAAATGAAGAAACTGAGGTAAGACTGGCTTTTCTTTTATGTTGAGGAGTGGTAATTTTTCGTAACATTTTACTTAATTCAAAAAACTAAACTTTTCACTCAAATATGAATCAGAAATAAAATATTATTGTTATTTTGCTTGATGCTTAAAAACTACTTTTTGGAGATTTAGTCATTTTATTTGAGAAACAGTCAGATAGGCAGACTTTTCCTTCTCAATTTAATATGAATTCGGAGTCTGTAACTTTATGGATCTAGGATGTGAGTAAAAAAAATACTATTTTATTTAATTAAATTATGAATGCAAGTGACAAAGATATCAAGTCTATTTTGCTTTCAGAATTATTGAAAATAATTTAAAACTTGCTATTTTTCACTATAGTGAGCTTTGTTTTTATATTTGCAGAATTATCTCAGCCTGTTATTTTCATTATACTAGAAAAAGAAAACATATAGTGTCTGATATGAAATTCTGTTTGGATTAAGATGTCGTATCTGGCATATGTGATGAAAATATGCATATTGTTACAAATCCTAAGACTTGATTTTTTAAGCGAGTGTCTGTTTTAATGTAATAAATCCAAATTACCTTGATATACACTAAAACTTTTCACCAGTTGCCACTTGTTTAGTTTCTAAAATGAAATGAGCTGCCTTAAAGCACTTTAATTGCATAGTCTGTGCTCACAGTATGCAATAAACACTATGCCATTTTAGCATATCTCTTCATGTATTCTGTGAATTGTACACCTTACCACAATCTCTGTTTTATTCTTATGTATATGTATGTGTGTGTGTAAAATAAAAGTATGTAAACATAAGTTATAATTTAAATTAGCAATAGCCCTTTATGCTTAATTTTGATTGTGTATCAGATTTCACAGTAATTGTTGTAATAGTAGTAATTGTTGGTTGGTTTGATCAATGAAAGAAACACTGCAGTATTAGTCAGTCAAGTGTTTGTGGTAAAAACTGTCATTGAATTTTGAAGAAATGGAAGCATTCAAGAAAACATTTTAAGAATTAATTGAAACAGAAAGGCTAATGTCTGATTACATATTTACTGTGAAGAATCTGGCCTTAATTACAAAATATTTTAGTTAAGAGTCTTGCCACAAGGCTCAGGTGCGAGGCATTTCAACAGGCTCCTAGGCTGGGAAAGCCACATCCTGTGTGTAGCATCATGTGGAAAAGCATATCTTTCCTGGCATAACATTAAGTAGTACTTTGCAGTGAAAAAAAATTTCTCGTGATAAGTGATGAATGAGAATACAGATCAAAGAGTCAGTCATATCATAAGCTGGTGATGTCATGAAGCAATATTGCAGCCAAAAATGATGCATCAGCCCTGGCTATAAGTGCAGTAAGAAAGACAATTTTAACATGCAGTAATGCTACAACAAACCTCAAAATATGCCTAGTAATAATTGGAAAATCTGAAAATCCTAGCTTCTTTAAAACAATTTTTTAAAATATTTCTCTTCTTGTATTCAGAAAATGGGCATGGATGAGCAATGAGATTTTCAAAGATCATGTTTTTTAAGCAATTCATTCCTTCAACAGAATTCCTCAACAGAGAAATTTTTGAAAGAAAATAATTTACTCATAAAAGCTGTTTTGTTGCTAGGTAATGCCCTATCACAATCTGATGCAGAGGAGTTTAAAGATGGTGATTATAAGGCAATGTTTTTATCCCCCCCTCGAGTGTAACTTCTATATGCCAACCTATGGATCAGGGCATTTTGGAAACAATAAAAAGGAACTATTGCTGGAAGCTACTGTCCACAGTGATAGAAAAAAATTAAGAAGGACAAGCCACAATTGAAGAACTAAAATGCATCAATGTAAAGGTTGTGCTTATTGGGTTGCATGGGCCTAAGCTAGTGTAAGGCCTAGAGCAGTTGTCAAATCATGGAAGAAGCTGTTAGGCAATTATGAAAAGATGAAAATGGGGAACACACATGAAACTGGATAAACTGTTCTACCTTTATTCCAATGTATACCTGGATGTGAAGCTGCATCTGCACAAGAAATCGAAAGTTGGATGAAAGATGATGGTCAGTGAGAAATAACAGTACCCTTCTATTATCGAGACCGGATTCAGAAATGTATATATGGATGCATTTATATTTATGGATGTATATGTTCATGCATGCATGCATATATGTATGTGTATACAAGCACACTTATATACACATACATACATTTCTGAAGCTTATCCTGATAACAGAAGAGAACTGAAATACCCATTGAAGAAATTGTCGTTTTTAAACAGTTGTGATGAAAATAAAAGTGAGGATCAAGCCCCAGCTGTTCAGCCTCGCAGGATTTCACATAATGATGAAGTTAAGGCTCTAGAATCTGCAATTAAATATATTGAGCAAAAGAAGGAGCTACAAGAATTGACACAGTGATGCTGCAAAGATGTCAAGAAGAAGAAACGACACTCATCAAAAAGCAAAAAATTTCTTTTGATTATCACAGAACTGAACTTTCAAAGTTAACTGTAGACTGTCAGTTAAGTTTTTTCTTTATATTTTTCCTGTTTTGTTTTAAAAGTCATTATTAGGCTTGTAGTACAATTGCTGTCCAGAAAGTTCTGTGAATGTGTCTATATTTACAATGGATTGTTGGTCTTATGTAAAACAAATGTTACTGTTCTTTGAAGTAATCCCCATTAAGGATTACTTCAAATTTGGGAACACACATTTGGGAATGGCACATTTGGTAACAGCTGTACAAGTCTCGGAAATTCTTGACACAGTCTTCTTTAGGGGTGGCCTTCATCATGGTTGTAAAATTATGTTGGATGTCTGAAGGACTCTGTCCCTCCAGGGCCAATTTCAATTTGGGGAACACGAAAAAGTGTGGAGGGGGGAACGTCTGGGAGTAGGGTAGGTGATTCAGGAACTCAACTCGCATGTTGGCCATGAACTTCTGCACCAGAAAGGCAGTGTGTGGCTGGGCATTGTCATGGAGAAGGTTCCAGTTGCCTTGCTTGGTGTACTGGGGGCATACTCACTTGATATAATTCAGCAAACGTTTCAGTATTTCCACGTACGTAGTGGCAGTTAGCATGGTGCCCTCAGGGAGGAATTTGTTATGGATGAGAACCTCAAGTTGAAGAACATCACAAGCATTGTCTTGATGTGGGATTTCTCACTTCGCACCTTTTTACATTTCAGAGAGCATTGACGCTGCTGCTCTATACTGTTGATGCTTGCTTTCAGGATTATGTCTCAGACACCAGGTCTCATCACCCATGATGATGGTTTTTAGAAATTTGATCTGCCATGATGATGAGGTCTGCACAAGGTTTAAGCTGAAGTTCATTTATTCTAATGTCAAAGTGTGGGACACATGTTGGGAGCAAAGCTTTCAGTTACCCAAATTGTAGGTCACTATGAGGTGTGTCATCTCATAACCAATGCCCTTTTTTTCCGCTATCATTCACATTATTACATGACGATCCTGGGCCAAAAGTTCCTTCACTTTCTGTACATTGTCTGAAGTGTATGCAGTTACAGGCCAACCACTTTGGGGAGAGTTTTCCAGGGTTCGTAGGGTCCTTAAGAGTTTTAAGCGCCCTTAGGTTTTTCGGAATCAATTTTCGGTCCTTAAAAGTCCTTAATTTTGACCCAAATCAGCAGAAGGTCCTTAATTTTAATCACCTGAAATTTCTGTCTTGTTTTTACAACTGCTATTTTCAATGTGAATTATCATTTTGGAGGAATATTTTTGACAATTCACTGACAAATATAATTATTTTATGAATGGGTTCATGGGTTATAATTTGTTCCTATTTCTAATATAAGGGGTGGACACTGGAGTTTCTGAGCAAGGAGTAAAACATAAGCATTTCAAAATTATTTAATTTTTTTCTAATGAAGAGCTGTTAAACAACTTTCCACTTTTGGGGATATGAATTCTTATATTAAACGGCTCTAAATTTGGCGGTTTTAAGATCAATTTCTATAAAAAAAATTTATTTCAGAGATCTGGGAATTTTTTGGCGATTTTTTTTTAAACATTATAACATTGATAAATTTAACTAAAATAATGCTAATATATTGAAATTATATTTAAGGAATAACATTAAAATAGAACATATAAAACATTTTAATTTTTTTGCTGTCATATTATAGAGTGACATTACTTTCTACACTGGTTATCATAAATTAAGGAAAAATCACAAAAATACCAATAACTCCCTTAAAAATAAGCCAACCGGTGTAAAATTTGAATATGTTACCAAGTAAGAGTAGCTGAGTAAAACTGCAATATGCAAATTAGTGGGCTGCACCGGAATAGTATTGCGGGAGCATAAAAGTCCAGGTTGAGAGCAAGCCCACATATTTCACTGTGATAGTGACATCAGAATCTGAGATAGCCAATTTGTACCATGACCTCCAGCATCATTTCCCGCAAACTATGACGGAGAGCCCTTGTTAGACTAGGCAGGATAAAGTCAAAGAAGTGGCGCATAAGGCTAATGTGAGTCTTCTTGGTTCAAGACCTTGCAATTTCAAACACGATTCAAGCATCTAGTGGTTTAGCAATGACGGCCAACTGCTACTATGAGCGCCAGTGGACAGATTGACATTATGTTCACGCAAGAATCTAACCGCTACTCCGACTCTCTTAGATCTCCCGCGTAGCCAAGGAGGTTGGTCATGTCAAAGGCGTAGAAGGTTGGTCGCATGCGAGGTGACACCATTGCGGTCGCTTATCCGCCATAGGAGAGACCGTTTGCATGGGGCAAACATTCCTGGATGCTGATCAGTGGAGAGCTGTCTCTTTACGACAAGTCCAGGTTTACTCTAGAAAGCGATAGTAGGCGTCATTTATTGGAGAAACTTGGAACCGTTATCACCGTCATCAACCGTGAAAGAGATCATACAGAAGGCAGTGTCGTGTTTGGAGTGGCATCTCTTCGGGTGGACACACAGACCTCCATGTCTTTCCAAGGGGAACCATGAATGCTCAGTTTAGAGATACATCTTGAGCTTATCGGGGGC